TTTCTAGGTGTACCTGACAGTGGGGAGGAAGTGAAATATGATGTTAGTGAGGATGACCCGGAATACAAGAGGTTGAAGGACACTTATTGGAAGGTTCCATTTACCCAGATACTGAAGAGGATATTATCTGGGGAAGAAAGCGACAATTTTGAGTTCCTATTTATGCTTTATACAGTTAAAGCTTTTCTATGTCCTGGGTCAAGCACAACTGTACATATACGTTTATTGAAAGTGATGCGTCACACGATGGATGGGTTTGGGAAATATGATTGGTCAACGTACATAATCAAGAACCTGTGGAAGGAGATGGGAGACTTTGTGAAGATGACAAAGAAGAAGAAGAAAGGAACCTGCAATGTTGGAGGGTGTCTTTATTTGCTGCTGGTAAGTCAATATTTTTTTTATGGTTCACTATATTTTTGTTTTATGTTATTGTTGCAGAAGTATGACCTATCTTTATTTGGTTTTGCAGCTGTATTTTGCTGAGCGTTTCCCGCTAGGATTATCTGTTGACCGAGGTTCAACAAGCGCCATTGAATATTAGACCGAGGAGAAGATAAAGGAGAGGGTGGAGAAAGAGAGAGGTAGCAGCATGGGAATATTGCATGGAAGCAGTGGCAGCGAGGTATACTCAGTAGGACATGAGGACAGTCCAATTTTACAGTCTTTAGATCTGGTATGTGGGAACTTAGAAAATATATGTGACTTGAGTTTAAGTCATTCTATTAGCAAGGTTGATACTTGAGATGACAAGACTTTATTTAGAAATGACCAGTGAGATACTGACATTTGATAACAGTGAACAATTTTTTTGATATCTTCATTTACTATGTATGCAGGCATTAAAGGAGTTGAGGGCTCATTTTGTGAAGAAGCTTGAAGAAAGCCAGAGGACGTTAATGAAGGCTCTTGATGATGAGCTACTCAAACTGCAGATTGGATGAACGCCAAAGTTAAGGGGATGGGGAATGAGAATGCCACTGCTAAAGAAGGGGTTGAAACAGTTGGTGATGCAGCTAGTAACGATGCTGAAGAAGCTAATGATGTTGACCGAGTGGTGGAGGAGATTGCAAGAGAGGTTGCAGTGGGAAGTGCAGATGAGGAACTTGATGAGGATGAAACCAGCAAAGGAGATGATGAGAAGGATGAGGATGAGGATGAGGATGAAGAACAACATGATCTTCATGACAGGGAAGTCAATGATGATTACATAGTTGAGGAGGTGGAAGAAGAGGGTGACCGTGATGGTCATGGAGGTGATGACGACGACGATGAGGATGAGGAGGAAGATGACCATGATGACAGGGAAGCAGGTCATGTGGTTGAGGAGGAGGAAGATGACCATGATGACATGGAAGTCAGTTATGATTATGTGGTTGAGGAGGCCGAAGATGATGATAAGGAGGTTCGGGATTCAGATGATGAGGGTGAGGAAGATACACATGTACTGACAATGACCCCTACCAATGTTCCTTTGCTGTTGGATTGCGAATGGGTGAGCAGTGACAGTGGGGAGGAAAGAGGGCCTGAAAAATTGATTGACCTTAGGCGGTCAACAAGGGCAAAGAGTTCCACAATTAAATATCCGTGGATAGAATTCAAGGCAGCTCCGAGGACGAAGAGGCCAAAGGAGGAAAGGGACATCTTTTTCACTTTAATATCCCGTAGACCTAAGGGAGAGGAAGAGGAGAATCTGTAAGTATATCCCTAGCTAGCATTTTGTTTTTAAATGACACAGTGTGCCCTGACAATGACAGCAATAGAATTGAAAATGACAATAAAATACATGGGGATGACAAGTATTGATGTCCCCAACACCATACTTTCTGTCACTGACATCTGCCAATGTTTGCAGGACTGTCATCAAAATGTTTGATGAAGATATAGACCGACAACAGCTGTTTTTCCTGGGTGGAGTGAACAGAGTAAATAACAGGGTATTTTAGAATGCTCTGTCCCTGCACCCATGATTATGTTTGATAATGTTTGGTGACATTATTGTACCAGAATGACGTTTTCACTTGTGTTCTGTAGGTGCTTAATTTGGTGTGCAAGGCAGTGATGGAGGACATGAAGGCAGAGTTGGGGCCAGGGAAGAGGCACATTTTCGATCTTGATTTCATGGTGAGGTTGCATAATTCCAAATGCAAATACCAATGACAGCAATTGAATTGGAAATGACTTGTTCTCTGTTAATGGATTAACAATTTCATATCATGCAGAACATGATGGCACATGATCCAACCTGGAAAGCCCAAAAATATAAGAAGCTCTTTCTTCCTGAGTTCCTTGGCTACAACTTAGCTGAATGTGATTTCATAATTGGTCCTGCTCTTGTTGGCCAACACTGGTTTTGTGTTGCCATTCAGCCTAGCACATTGGATTTCCACGTAATAGACTCCATGAGGAACCATTTCGGAACCAAGGACAGAAAGCAGAAGAAGAAGGTTGTCATCAAAGACTCAGTGGAAATGGTTGTGGATGACTGTGTAAGAAAAAACTCATTATCTTTACCCTAGTTTTTGAACTTGGAAAATCATTAAACTTTCTATGTTAGTCTTGAATGTTGTTGCAGAGGATGAGGCTCAATATTATACTAGACTTGGTCAAGCCAAGATTGGTTAGGAAAAAGCCAATGTCTCCCATGATATTTGCAGAAGTTCCCCAGTAGAATAACCTGTCAGTTTTGTCAAATTCGATTTCTGTGTGGTAAATGCACATGTCAGATGTGTTAACTAACTGTGCTGATATTGTTGCGTCCACAGGAGGGATTGTGGGGTGCACTGCATGATGTGGCTGAGAAGATGGGAACCTGGTGTGACCCTTATCTACACAAAGGAAGAAGTTGATGGCTTTCATCGTGACCTGACATGGTGGTTGGTGAATCATAAACAGAATGAAAAACGTGACGAGGCATTGGCCCTTATTCGACGACCACAACCAACCAAGAGCACAAAGTCCAAGAAAAGGTGTCGGTCTTAAGTGTCTCGATGTTAGGGTCATAATTCACTTGTCCTCTGTTAGATTGCTGTATGTAATGTGCATTGTAGGCTGACCAAAAATTTACTGTGTATTGTTATGGTTAACAGAGATTGGTGTCCATAAATGTATGATAGTTGAGAACCATGATGCCAATTTATTCCCCAGTGACATGAATGAATCTAGTTTTAACCACACCAAAATAGATGATGACAACAACCCCATTGGACATGTGCTATTGGTTTTCATTTTTTGTTCAGGTCACTAAATTTTACTTCAATATATCTTGTTGGTATCCAACAGAAAATGACACCAAGTGAAGCGAATATGACAGTGATAATGATAAGGATAACCTGGTCTGATTTTAGAACATCAGTTCAACACGGCTGTCGGCTTATGCTGATAGCATCACTGGAAATGACCAGAACAAATTTAAAAATGACACCACGTGAAGCGAATATGACAGCGATAACGATAAGGATAACCTGGTCTGATTTTACAACATCAGTTCAACACGGCTGTCAGCTTATGCTGATAGCATCACTGGAAATGACCAAAACAAATTTAAAAATGACACCACATGAAGCGAATATGACAGCGATAACGATAAGGATAACCTGGTCTGATTTTACAACATCAGTTCAACACGGCTGTCAACTTATGCTGATAGCATCACTGGAAATGACCAGAACAAATTTACAAATGACACCACGTGAAGCGAATATGACAGCGATAATGATAAGGATAACCTGGTCTGATTTTACAACATCAGTTCAACACAGCTGTCAGCTTATGCTCATAGCATCACTAGAAATGACCAGAACAAATTTAAAAATGACACCACGTGAAGCGAATATGACAGCGATAATGATAAGGATAACCTGGTCTGATTTTACAACATCAGTTCAACACGGCTGTCAACTTATGCTGATAGCATCACTGCCAATGACCAGAACAAATTTAAAAATGACACCACGTGAAGCGAATATGACAGCGATAACGATAAGGATAACCTGGTCTAATTTTACAACATCAGTTCAACACGGCTGTCAGCTTATGCTGATAGCATCACTGGAAATGACTAGAACAAATTTTGAAAATGACACCACGTGAAGCGAATATGACAGCGATAATGATAAGGATAACCTGGTCTAATTTTACAACATCAGTTCAACACGGCTGTCAGCTTATGCTAATAGCATCACTAGAAATGACCAGAACAAATTTAAAAATGACACCACGTGAAGCGAATATGACAGCGATAACGATAAGGATAACCTGGTCTGATTTTACAACATCAGTTCAACACGGCTGTCAGCTTATGCTGATAGCATCACTGCCAATGACCAGAACAAATTTAAAAATGACACCACGTGAAGCGAATATGACAGCGATAACGATAAGGATAACCTGGTCTGATTTTACAACATTAGTTCAACACGGCTGTCAGCTTATGCTGATAGCATCACTGGAAATGACCAAAACAAATTTAAAAATGACACCACGTGAAGCGAATATGACAGCGATAATGATAAGGATAACCTGGTCTGATTTTACAACATCAGTTCAACACGGTTGTCACCTTATGCTGATAGCATCACTGCCAATGACCAGAACAAATTTAAAAATGACAACAAGTAATGCGCCATTAACAAAAGCTAACATCCCCATAACAGTAACTTCCTTTCATGTATTCAACAACAAGTGGACATTAAGATACTAGCCACACTTAATGCTCCGTTATCACTGAAATTTCTATCAGCTTACTTACAAAAAAATGTCTCCACCTAGCTCCTAACTACAACCCCAGTCCCAAAAAAGTTGACAAGGGCGGAGCATACAACTATGTACACCAAAAAATGACCCATCCCCATTGTACTCGAAACTTCATGATGGGTTAGGATTTCTGCAATTCCTCCTTGTGTGTCCAGGCTGGTGGCATCTTCCATAGTGGTATATCCGTTTGTTCTGGAACTGTGATTCATCCCTATTTACTTTTGGCCTTCCTGGTGGTCGGGATGTCATAGGAGGTAGCAAGAAAACTTACTAACATTTTCTATTCTATAGTAGTCATTTGGGTGAGGCATGTCTGTTGTTACCACAGGAATCATACTGCGAGCATAGATCTTTTCTTGTGATGACTTTTTATAGCAATTATCAATATAATCATAAACATTGCCGTGCACAATCTTGATGGTAGCACAAGCATGGGAACAAGGGATCCCCGTCATTTGCCAAGATCTGCAACTGCATTGGTGTAGTCCAAGATCAACCCGATGCTCTCCACGTGATGTTGTCACCTTCACTCTTCCCCCACCATAATTTTCAGCATACATATGGTCAGACCCAGCCACCATATCCAGCACCTTACTCTCTATATTTGGACCAACGCAATTCTTCCATTTGGTCATAGCCATATAGGAGGCATGCAGCTTTCTTGCAACTTTATCTCGGTGCTCATAGATCAATTGGGGTACAGTATGCTTTCTCTCATTCACCATCCATGTATTGAATGATTCTGCTATATTACTTGTAATATTGTCCCATCTTTTATATGGGAACCTGCTTTTAACCCACCTATCTACATCCCTATGATGAATAAGCCAATCAAATAGCCTTGGAGAAAAGGATCTCATGTCATCCATTGCTGCCTCAAATTTCTCATCCGTCCTTGCGTATGCAATTTTATCCAATAAATATAGTGCATCCTCCTTTGATCGGCCATTTGTCCTTGTTTGCCCCTTATTCATTTTCATAACTTCTGAACTAAAATTCTCCTTGATGTGCCTATAACAAAAGGCATGCCTTTGACCCCCAAAGATTGATGCCACTCCTCCGATGATAGCATTGTGTCGATCTGATACAATCGTTACTTCCACAGAACCCAGGATTTTTTTTATCATATAGAAAAACCACGTCCAGTCATCTAGTGTTTCTCCCTTCACAATTGCAATTGCAAACAGCAGCAGCTCGTTATCTGCATCATAAGCTGAAGCTGACAACATTGTCCCCTTGTATGGTCCGCTTAAGTGAGTTCCATCAACATACATAATATGCCTCGCGCCACCCAAGAAACCCTCAATGCATGCCCCGTAGGCAATGAAAACACGTTCAAACCGGTTCCCAATAGCAGTCCATTCAGCCATTGATTTTTCATCTATTTCCTTTATCCTTATGCATACCCATGGTATGAGCATGTATGATTGTTCAGGCCTGCCATATATGTCTTCCAATGACTTCTCTCTTGCTCTATAAGCTTGCTTATATGTTAGATCAATCCTATACTCTCGTTTCAACCTCTTCCTTATCTCAGAAGTGCGCTTGTCTGCATGATCCCTCATCTCATCAATTATTACTGATGAGTTCAAACTAGCTCTTCCACTATGCATCACGTCCAAGCTATCTTGGGCAGAATGAACATGCCAGTTTATAAATGTCGTCACTCGTAGCACATCACAACTCTTCCCCACATGATTTGCACATAGCTTCCATGGACAACCCTCAACTTTACACCTTATCGACATGAATTCCTTGCTATTCCTCATATACTTGGCCACAAACTTGTTTGCAAGTACAAACTTGTATACAGACACCCGAAATACATCTGCACTAGGAAAACATTGGCCCACTCCTGTTAAAAGTCCCCTCCATTCCGCATGAACCATCTCACTACCATCCGTATCTTCAGCTCCGATAGATTTATCCACATTAGGGGGCCCACTTATTTCATCATTGTCACATTCACGAGCATTTTCTTCACTGAGCCAGCCATAATCACAACACAAACTAATGGGAGACGCATCCAGTTCCGTTTGCTGTGACATGCCCATGAATCTCTCTGTTCTGCATTCATAATGACAAGACTCGTTAACACAAATGACAAGAAGAAATTCATAAATGACAACAAATAGTTAGGACAAACTTCCACTTACATTTCTACATTGTCCCTTGGTTGGGGACCCACTTGTCTTTTTTTGGCGACATACACATGACCGCTGTTCCTATTGTATTGAAAGAGGTTATACATTTCAGCATTGTCATGAAGGTCAATCAATGTCTTCTCATCATAGGCCACTGTGTACTTAATGTCATAATTTCTTCCATCACCACCAATCTACTCAGATATCATTAGCCTCAATTCATCAAGTGTCAGCCCATCCTTAATGCTTCTTAACCTCACGCCACCTCCATTATATCTCACTTCACCTTCACCATTTGTCACAAATTTCCCCCCATATGAAAATAACAGAAAAGCTCCTTCCCACAAGATGACCCAGCTTCGAAATTCATTTATCTTCATTACCTGCACTGATAACAGAAGTCGAATGATTATATGACTTAATACCATCATCATCAACTTACACGACCAACTTAGGGTTTGACACATTCATGCTTATAATTTGCAACAAAACACTCATTTCTTTCCTGTCCACACTAATGCTTCATTTTCTCAGAATCAATCTACTCCATTATTCGAATCTCCCTCCAACATTGTCCCTTTATCTGACACTAATCACTTTAACCCACTTGTGACACCATCAAACCCCTCTCCCTCAGTATCTTTCCTTCCCCGTGCATTCACCCTCTGATCACCGTCCTTCCCCACACTTTCTATATACCCACGCCATCTCCATTCTTCGCCACCTTCTCCACCTCAAAACCATCCCCACATCGACGACATTGCCATCCAACGGGAAGAGGAAAATCAACCGGCGCATAAAGGAGAGGGACAAAAGACAGAGGCGAACAATATAGTCACTGAATACTAACCTCGCTTCCGTCGTTCAGTTGTTGCTTCGCGCGTTCATGCTCCCACGTTCGTGGTCCCTCCCAACTTTTTCCTCCAGCTCCCGCCACAACTTGCACACTTCCACCGGTCACTTTTTCTATTTGCATATGAGGGGCTGTTTCGTAATTGTGCAACATTTGCATAATCCCAAATCAGGCAACACTTCCCTATCTGGTAATACATTTGCTTAGCTTCCCATTTTGGCATTTTATTATTTCAGGCTTCTTTATCTGTCATTTTTCCTCTTTTTTTTTGGCTTTACGTAATTGGCAAGCCGAAAGCTTGCAAGACATACAAGGCCACGAATTGTACCACCGTAGAGCTTGAAAAGAATAGTTCAAAAATATGTCTAAGGACATTGAAAGAATAAATTTGACGAATTCATTTAGTTAACATTCATTAAAATAAATTCGATGACTAAACTATAATCACAATCATGTGGAAATTCATTTCAAAAAACAAAGCCAGTGGATTTAATTAATATTTGTTTTAATCAAGTACATCAACTTAGTCATCAATTATCAGTTCTACCTTGTCAGAGAGACTGCTTAGTATATAAAATGAAAAGTAAAATAAAAATTGATTCTTAAAAAAATAGTCCTTTTGAAAAAAAAAAAAAAGGACAAAAATAATCTTCGTTTCAACAAGTTAAAATAATGATAAAAAGTTCTAAATAATGGATATCATACAACTTAAATTTTTTGTATCTTATATCAATATTGATCTTAACTACTGCACAATTGATGCCTTTAACTCATATTTGTTGAATTCTTTAGCCAATTAATATATGAAAAAATATTGATGTAAACAATATGTCAAATTTTTGAAGTCAGTCAACAGTTACCTTTTCTTTTCGTGTTTGATGCGTTGCGAAATGTGAATACTTTCAACAAGTTATATGTAATATCGTCAGAAGTAGGATAGGCATCCGTTCAAAAATAACGTATCCGCTCAAAAAAAAAAAAAAGAAGAAGAAGTAGGATGGGCAGTGTTGGGCATATTTGGAAAACCGTATCCCAGCCGCTAAATGCTTTGGTCTTTGTTTAATACGTCTCGATAATGGTTTTCAAATCTTGTATGATATTGATTTCAATTTCTTAACTATAAGTTTTCCGCACGTAAGTTTGACGTGACTTTTTCTCTTATGAAAATGGCCGACTTATCATGTAGGAAAAATTGTAAATGAAAACTCTAAAAAATAAATTGTAATTTGAGTTTTTGAATTCAAAAAATTGCTATCAGAACCAAGTCTTTGATATAAATGAGCAAATATTATGTAGAAGATTAAATTGTCCTGCTGTTAGAACTTGTCATTTTCAATTGCAAACTTCTTATTTAGACTACTTAATTTGTAACTTCTAATATAATACTGCACTCATAATTGTTTGGTAGTACAGACTTATAAATACATAAATTATAATTTTTAATACATAACTTATAGTTAATGTTTTATTTTCAACATGAGAGTAATTTAGTCTTTTACATTTGCTAATTCGTATTTAATACCTTATCCTAGCAGCAATTTTTTTAAATTCAAGAACATAAATCATAATTTTTGGTTTTGTTAGGGTGTTTATTTGCAATTTTCCCTATCATGTAGTGAATTTATTTTACCTTCCTCCTTAAATTTCTGTCTTCATTTAATTTCTATATGCAAACTTAATTTATTTTATAATTACTATTGTCTTAAACTTGAAAGGTTTAATATAATCTTTAGTTCCCCCAAGTTTGTTCTCATTTTGGTTTTAATCCTTCAAATTTCAAACTATAAGTTTAGATCCCTCTAAGGGCAAAATGGTCCTAGTATTGATTGGGTTATAGGGACTAATGTTTTAAATGAAAAAAAAAACTTGAGGGACCAAAACTCAGGTTTAAAACTTGAGGAATTAAAACCAAAATGAAGACAAACTTGAAGGACCAAAGTTTGTATCAAGCTAACTTTTAAAATTACAATAGATAGGAGTATAGTTAGAATTTTGAAATACTAGTGTCCTAAAATTTTTAAAAGGCATGTAAAGGGAGCTTACGCAAAGGAATGGATGGAAATATAAAAAAGAGGTTTGTGTAACATACATTTTAATTTTAGGAAAGACTTTTTCAAAATAGATGAAAAGTTTTTTTAATTGAGGTAAACTAGAATGGTGGTGAGTGTATTAATCAAATAATTTTGAATGACTACAATTAACAAAATCTTTGAATGTTAATCAAATTTGAAGTTAGATAGCTAAACCACGATGATTATTCTGCAAAAAATCAAAGATAATATGTGACAAAATATTGTTGGCCAAAAAAAATATGTGTGAAAAAATTATAAGTCCCTCATTTTGCCAAAAAAAATTATAAATCCGTCATTTGTGACCTGTTTCTAATTTTTCCCCGAAAAAATGAAATTAAATAAAAAGAAAAAAATTAGGAATATTTGAATTATTATGAGCTGCTCAAAATAATTTAAAGACAGAAATTAAAATATTTTGTATCATGAATGAAAATTGATTTAATGTGTTATTAACCTGTGTTTATTGTCAAGAAACTAAAATTCTATAGAAAATGCAATGTCCACAAATTTTTTCCTTGCAAAATTGTTGGGGGGGGGGGTTTGTGTGTGTTAAAAGCATATACAATTGGATAAAAGTTAAAGGTTTAAACCACCCCCCTAAATGTATAAGGGAGGAATGTATACAACAATTTGAGTATTTTTTTTGCGAATGAAAATAATAAAGATTATCTCAGTGTGTTTAAATGTCTGGTGTATAAATGATTTGGAAGACTATAAATAAATGTAATCATAAAATACAAATTCTAAATATTAAGTGACATATATGAAATATATTATCTAGAGAAAAATACTTTGGTTATCCGTATGATTACTTAATTTTTTATAATTTTAATATTGATAAATGAGATGAGTCATTATTAATGATATGCGTCCTACTTTTTGACAATTTTGCATGTAAGGCGTGGAATATGAATAGGATGGATGTCTTTATAATCAATTGTCTTGATGAATAGTGAGAATTAGTCTATATAGGCATTAACACTATGTGATTGATCAATTGTCAGGAATTCTAATGAACAACAATTTTCTTGTGCAAGTTATATTCTTGTTAGTTATAAGCTATATATATCTTATATTTTTTCAGAAAATTAATAATCAAAATATAATTAATAAGCAGTTAAGTTTGTGCCACAATTTCTAAATACAAATCCGTTTTCAGTTAGTTTAAAATTTGTATGGCTCCATGACTTTACATATCAACTATAACAGACTCGTAATTATTTAATTACATTTTTATTGTTGTCATGATCTCCAAAACACAAAAAAAAAATATGGGACACTAATTACTTACTTGTTATAGTAATATTGATAGCCAAAATATTTAAAATATAGAACCGCAAAACTATATGTGTGTGTGTGTGTCTATACAAAGGAGAAGAAAGGAAGGAAATAATCTAATTTATAAAGCTTTTAAAATGAATCCAACCATACACTTCAGACTCTTGCAATTAAGTCATGCTATGAAGTTCAAATTTCCAAGATGAGTTTAAGATTTCTTGATATTTTTCACTCACATTTTTTATCATTTTGTGGACCCTGGATGAAAGAGAAGGGGGAAAAAAGAAAAGGAGAAGAATTAAGAATGAATAAAAACAAAGTTTTATGAGGTTATAATTATAATAGTGAATTAATTGTAATCCCAGCTACGACACAAATAACAGATTAAAGAGCTAGTATATAATTATTACAACTAGTAAATCTTTAAACGTTGCTCAAATTTCATCTAAGCAGCTAGTATCCTTGACCTGTATATACCTAATACTACCCCCGATACTTATTATAAGAACTAGATAACTAACTTACAAAAATTAAGAAAATATATTAAGTTAGTCAGTTGTAATAAATTAGTATGTTTTATTTTTTATTTTTTATTTTAAAATAATTGAAAAGAATTTAAATTTTAAAAAATAACATATAAAGGCCAACCTTTTTAAAGCCTGAACTCGCATATCTAAAGATCAGGCTTTAATAATTTTATAATTTTAAGATACCTCAAAATTTATTGAAGTCATATATCTAATAATGCTGCCCATTACAAGTCTTTGATGGGAGACATTCAATTTCTTTCTTGGATAATGAGTATGATCCTCCACCATCCATTCCTTATCTTTTAGCTACGCTCCATTTCCTCAAGAATCCAAATACCTCGTCCATCTATTTGCTGCGAGAAAGAATTCCCATACTACACGTTCCACTGATATTACGTATAACGTGTTGAAAGGATTCGCAACGCATCAAAGAACAAGTAATTGTTGACTGACTTTAGAATTTGACACTTTTTTATATGTATATTAATCAACTTATTGAGAATTCAACGGCCTTGAGGTAAATACAATAGCTATGCAATAGACCAATAGTTAAAGTCGGTATTAATATGGGATAAAAAAGTTTTTTCGGCAAGTTGTGTATTATTTGTTTCTTTTTATTTAAGTCGGTAGATATTAACTGCATGATTTCAAGTCATGTAACGAAAATATGCCCCGCCCTTCATGTTCTACTTTTGACAATATTTCATTATAACCTGTTGAAAGTATTGGCAACACATCAAACATAAAGACAAGTAAATGTGGACTGACTTTAGAATTTGATATGTTGTACAACTAATGATTTTATTTTTATATATATTAATCGATCAATTAATTAATTGGGTATATTACTATTATTCTTATTTTAATATATAAATTCAAAAGTATCAAAGTGGTTTTTTGGCTAGGCAAATATATTCTATTATTAGAGACAATCATGTTCGAACTACTGTCAGGCACTAAATGTGAACCCCCTTCCAACAGAAATTTGAATCTCAATGCACCAACAAAATTCAAACTCCCACTATTAGACCTAACACCTGCTGGTAAAAGTATGAAAGTTGTTGTATCCACATGAAAACCAATTGATTTGAACTACAAACTGAAAAACTACACAGCAAATCTTATACTAGAAATTGAATATAGTATTATAAATTGAGTATCGTGTGGAAAGGGTAAAGTCTTTCAAATCATCAATCCAGTCAAAAGACTTAAATAAGCTGTAAAGCGTCAAATACACTATATTTAATTTTTCCTCTAGTGTGCCAAACACGTCAATTATAGGTCTTGGTTCGGAGACTTTTGATGAATAGTGAGAATTAGTCTCTA